TTGCGGGGTCTCTTTGAGTGTTGTTTGGGCTCCAGTTCGCTCCAGAATCTTTACCCCGAGAAAACAGAAGTACGGAGTCAGAGTCTTTGAGGTGGTCTCCCGCAGGTAACACGTTCCTGGTCTGTGTGGCTTGTTTCGCATGAGGTGTGGAAAGAGGATTATGAGAGGGTCCATCGGTGGGACTTCCAGGCCTCTCTGACGTTATGTCGTCCTGCACGTGTTGTGTTTCTGTGTGACGTCGCAGATCCACCTTCCGCTGGAACGCTCGCCCGCATCGCGTGCAGGTGAAGGGTTTGAAACCAGTGTGTTTGCGGCAGTGGGTGATGAGGTTGGAGGATTGACTGAATGCCTTGCTGCAGTGTGTGCACTTATATGGCTTTTCTCCTGAGAGAGGAAAAAAGAGGAGTAGGATTAAGTTTTTTAAAATCTAAATATACCTTAAACATGTTTTAGCTTTTAAACATAAAAAAAGTATTAATTAAATTAAGCTTTATAAAATACTGGATTTTATAACCCTTTACAGAAAATATGCAGTCATTATATTTAATTTTATTTGTACGCACTCAGTCACACACACGCGCTCAAACGCACATATGCACGCACATACACATGCGCATGCACGCACATACACATGCGCATGCACGCAAACAACACACACACACGCAAACAACACACACACACACACACACACACACACACACACACACACACACACACACACACACACACACGTGCTAGCAGATTTGAATAAATATACATATTTTTATAGGCATTTTCTAAAAAAGGAAAAAGGAGAATATTATGTTAGCGAAGAAAACGTTGGCGTTGCTGGCAGGTTTGGATCTTGGAACCTTTTGACTCAAGTTAAGATGATACTATCTGGCCTTGTTCATATGTACAACAAGGCTAAGGCTAGTAGGCAAGTTTATACTAATTAGAAGGTAGCGTACTACATGTCTTTCAGCCAAGGACACCGGATTGGAAGGGAAAATATTTAAAGAGAGACAAAATAAAACAAAAATTACCCCCCCCCCCCCTCGCACCCCCGCAAAAAAAACAACAACCCAACTTAAACCCAAACCCAACAACAACAAAAAAACAACAACAAAACATACACAAAAAAGCAAAAACAATGAAACAAAAATCGGACCTAAGTCTGATAAACCCATACAAACCCCAAACTGCCCGCAGTTTCATCTCACAAACTGCATCTAACTTTAAAATTTGGAACAAATAGAAACAATACTATAGCAATTATTTATTTATATTGTTTATTGTTATTAGAATGAGTATCGCGTCAATTTTAAGCTATGCTTTAAGTGTTGATCAAAATACGACGATCAGAGAGATCGAACCGAGGGATAGTAAAAGAAGCAGGACCTGCAACAACCCAAACTATAATGTAATGCAAGGGTAAGAAAAGCAAAAATTAACAGACAGAAATAGCAAAGAGAAAGGAAAGAAGTAGTGTCTGTCAGTGACCCCTTTATCCCACCCGCAAACTGCACCACAGAGAAGTGGTAAATTGACTTTCGCGGAGAGAATGTTGAATTAAGAGCCCCTGAGAGGTATCCTCAAAGATTCCAGAAATATGAGTTATCAGTCTCAGTATTTGGCCGACAGAGGAGATCCCTGGCACATCCTCGTTTTCCTGCTGCTCCCTCCAATCCTTCTGTATTTTGCGCAAATTACTCCCCTTTATCACTCTCATCATTGTCCGTGCAAGCCAAACAACTCTTTCCAGCCCCAAACCCGAGTAATTTTTATTGACAAAAGAGCTCTTCTTTGATTAACCCCCTCACGCTGTGAGAGTCTTCTCTTGTGTAAACCAGCCGCTGTTGATTAACCCTTGCTGTGCCCCGGGCCGAGGGCGGACCAGGGCTGGCGTGCTCAACATCGCCAATTAAGTTCTGCCCGTTCGGCGAAAAGCTACTCTACAGGATACTGGCAAAGTGAAAAGTGAGAGTTCTCGTTGGCTACGGAAGTAACGGTCTGTGATACCACAGCGAAGACAAAACTTGATGGAATAATCTGGGAATTCCGCAGAGTGGGATAGGTCAGTTCAAACACTGAAGTGGCCTACTATTTCGAGTAGATATACATGTATATGTGCTTATTTTTATGCGGGATACTTAATACTACGTAACGAGTGGATCTTCAACACATTAAAAGTGGTTTATTGGGGGGGG